TGAAAACAACTAATCTCTTTGAATCAAATGACTGTATGTATTCACTGAAGAAGATCCAAATAAGAGGATCGAAATGTCTGATTTAATTTTAATAATAAAGAAAATATATACACGAACACCTATGATATATGTATATCATCGACATAAGCGGGAAACTTGATATCTTAGCAAAATTCTGTATTTAAATCTGTATTTAAATCTTTCATAATAAGTAAGACATCAAAATAAAAAGAATGCATTACATAAGAGATAAACAATACATTCATAATTTCTGATTATAATTTCAAGATTACCTAACCTTTTTTTAAGAAAATTTCAAATATCACAAAAAAACTATTTTGGTATATTAAATCTCAATTATTTTGGAAACTTGGCGCGTTGGTAAAATTTAGCTTACGGCATCTAAAAATCTAAAAAAAAATCAGAGAAATATCTTGTCTGATTCAAAATAAATTTTAAAAATATTTTTTTATAAACTAATATTTGAGTTGACAAAATTTGACTTACGATATTGTTTTAATATTCATAAATGTTTAAGTATATTCAAAAATGTACAAATATACAATATAAATGTAAATAAATAACTAAAAAATATTTTTTGTAAATTAATATTTACAAAAAAACCACAGTTGCCTGCGGTGGAAGAGAATTAAAATAAAAATGTATGATTCATGAACAAAATTAGCAAGATTTTCTGCCGTTTCGCAACACACAGCATGGTTTGGATTTTAATAGAATTTTAATGTGATCATGAATGTCAAGAACATATTGTATTATATGTTTCCCTCGTTTGTATTATCTCGCGCAAAATTTCTAAAACTTCTGCCTTATAAGGGCACAAAAGAGAAATAAAATTAAAACGCATGATGCCGTTGTGAAAAATGCTAAATTGTCTTGAATGAAGATTCTCACGTGATAACAAACCCCAATAAAACTCTAATAACTGTCGCGATATATAATGGAATTCACAATGAACACCAGCAAAAACCGACGTGACACTTTCTTGCAATTGCGATCGTAATTAAGGACAATGCACAAAAATTAAGATCAAGAAAACAGGCAGAAAACAGTTTACAAATGAGGACAATAATCATTTAGTGCACGACTGTTCTGAATAGAGTTGTACAGAGCGTTCTGCCACTTCCCTTTATGCGAATTCGTCATAATTTCACTCTTTTATTAAATTCTCTTTTAATTTTCACTTAATTTTCTATTAAACTAATTCCGTCGTTCCTCAAATCAACATCTTCTTTGAAGATAAAATACATTCGGAATTTATTACAAATCTTAAAAACAATTGTCAACTTTACTCTCAACTTTATTCTTGAAACTTAATTAAACAAAATATTGTATTTTTATCGCAAGCGATTATGAGATGAAAAAATTAAGAAACACCGAAATGCGGAAGAGAGAAATTTATTGATTTAATAAACATATAAATAGATACATAGAGAAGATAGAGACTTTGTAGTGTTTGTACATTTATCGCGAAAAATAAAAGTCTTAAGAAATCTCAGACTCAAATGTTTTTATTAAATTAAAATTCTATAAACTTGTATTAAAAGTAATCTTTTGAAATTTCGTTGTAAACTTTTTTTCTCATTGTCTTTAACGCACAATTTCAGCTTAAATAATATCAATCAAAGAAGATTATAAGTATACAAAGAACGGTGGATCGTTAATTTTTTAAGGGCGAGACTTATCGTACATTGTGATAACTCATGTTCAAGAGAAGTAGAGGGTGGAAAGATGTATCGATAAGTGGAATGAATGAAGTTTCATGAAGCGCTCGCTTCTTTTTACACTGAAGATGAAGAGGGAATAAATGGTAGGTATGTATTTTTTTCAGAGCATGACTTGCCATAATAAAAGTAAAAAACACTACAATGGTGAGAGATGATTATGCATTAAAACAAATGTATTTCGGAAATACAGCCATGAAAAGCGGCCACATTTTCGAATCGAGTTTCCAAGTCCGTTAACGAGTTAAAATCAAATCTGTAAATATAAATTTTCCGTCGAACTCGCTCGAATGTTTATTTTCATCAATAAAATATCAAATTTGAAATTAAATCAAAAGATTAAATTTGAAGTTAAAATCGAAGGATTAAAAGCTATAATTAAATGGAATTGTATGTTAATTGAAGCAATTGCGCAGAACCCGGAAACATCTTGTCGATAATTCTCGATTATTGCATCTATGTTGCGCACTGCAGCATAGATGCAATAACCCCAGACACAACATACATTAATATTATCGTATACCTCGTGTACACGAACTCTGCCTTCACACTATATTTAACTTCGAAGGCGAACGACGAATAAAAAACGGCCCAGTAATTCTTTCTCCGATTCGTTAAAGCGTTCGTTTATACGGTAACTGCGAGAATTATGCAACGCCATTTCACGCGGTTTCACGGCGAAAAGAATATCGATCCACGAAACCGTTCCGAGAAAATCCTAGAGACTACATTTTATGCGCGTAACAATACAAGCCAATAGCACTTTGTAGATGAATTTTTTAAGTCACAAATTTGAAAAATTGAAGATTTTTTTATCGACGAGAAAACGCTGTTAATAAAAAGACGACAATTATTAATTTATCTATATTTTTATGCAACATAAATGTGTATTATATATAGATAATATTTTTATCATATTATATGTATATTAGATAAAATCGATAAATGTATTCGCAACATGGAGACAGACAAACTTCGCGATAGTAACGCCAAAGTAAGTCTCTAAGGGTAATCGACCTCGAAATCGAATTGCCAGAGAGCATTCGCCGGCATATTTAGATACTAACCTACGACTGCGCGTTTATTTTTCTTCGGCGTATTACGTGACTTGGAGTTTCGTTGATCACATAATCGACGCTCGGCAGTAGATGCTATTAATCATTCAACTTACTACCGAATTTCTCCAACAAGTAACTAAAGAGCGGCTAAAAATAGGACTACAAGACTACCATAAAGATAACATGGATGTACAATAATTCAAATGTAGTTAAAAAATGTTAGAAATTTTTGATAATAAATTTGTAGAAAAAACATTGCTTTCACAATTTCTAAAAACAGAATATTTAAAAATTCATATAAAAATTCTCTATACCTATTTTTTAATTGTCGCTCGTTGGGCGACAACAGAAAAATTTATAGATAATTAAACTCATAAAAGAATAAAAACCCGGATTAAAATAATTCACATTGTACATGTGATGTATAGAATTTACAATGCATATAACATGCATACCAAGTTAAATATTTATACAATTATTATAAATTAAATCCTTGTTGATATGTTGTATTATTGACTTATCTCAAAATCTCTGTTATCTTATATTGAAAAAAATATGTTATATTATGTGCATGATAAGTATATTTAAGGATGTATTTAAAAAAAAAATTAAAAAATATGAAAAAATTACAATTTTTTAAATGTTATATTTGAAAATAGTACAAAAAGTTTGGCGACGATTTAGAATTTGGATCAAAAATTGTTTCAATAAAAAATAAATATATTTTTAGAAATAATTAAGATAAAATTAAAAAAATTTTATCTAAACTGCATTATTAAATATAAATGTTGGTCCTGTTAAACTATTCTATGAATATATAACATTCATTTTTACACGCGGAAAGTTTAAATTTCCAACTCTAGTCACCTTGCAGAGACTATGTGCCTGATCCTTAAGAAATATATGATATTCTTTCATGATATCGTTTCCTTACATTAAAAGAGACATAAAAAAATGAGATTTTTCATAAAAAATTCGTCATAATTCAAAAAGGGTGTTTTTTTAAGGATGGTTTTTGTGAAGTGAAAATAACAAAGATATTTGATCAACACTAAAAATATATATAATATATTCCTTTTGTTAATATGATTTAATTATATAGTTAATAATCTTTTATCAATTTAAAAAATAGTTCTTTCCTGAAAAATTTAATTTTTTGTGTTGTGTCACTTTTGAAATAAGGAAATAATGTGTATTATACAATATATAGTTTCAGATATTCTATATTCCATATAAATGTAGAGGAAAACATATTATATAAGGAAAGAGAAAAATTCTTACTATTATCATCGCACATTTAACACTAATTGCTGTCTTAATTTGCGTATTATGTTGAACGTAATTCTCATTATTTAATTAAATAAGACTGCGTACAAGCATCATATTTAACGTTAAATCTGACACTAAATGGCAGGAAGATAAGCGGGGGTAAACTTGCAATTTGTCGAATGCAATTTGCTCAAGGAAACTAAGATTTGAAAATGGCTAATGAGAGCAATAAATACAATCCAATGGAAAAGTTTGCCTGCGCGAAAGTCACATGTCGACTCAAGAAGCAATTCTCAAAAGTAAAACTTTGCAATAAAAGTGGAAATTAGAATGCTTTCTAATTATTAGGTTGAAAAGCTTCTTAATTAGCAAAAAATACAATACATAATCAGACTTTTAAAATCGCAAACCTAACAACAATGACATTAATAATAACGTCAAAAAGTAAAGTTAACATTATTTTGATGATATACTTGTGTATCCATATTTCTACCAATCTGGATTAACTTTAAATTTCAATCTTACTGTCAGTATATAAGTCATTTTTTTTTATCTTTTTCCAGTTCTAAGAATTACAAAAACATAAAGAAATCGAAATAAATTAAATCGAGATTAAAGTTAATCTACATTGAAAGATACGAGCAATAATAGGAGAAAAATATTGATTATCACGAAATAAAAGAAAGTACTCGAAAGTAATCAGTCAAAACACGAGATCAGTCAAGCGATTTTAACATTTTAAAAAATATCATCGAGCAGACGCTGTTATTGACGATTAGAAAGTTCAGGGCAATTGGTAAGTTTTCTAGAGCTTGGTAAACCGCCCGTTCCATCTTTCAAAGTACACAACATTAGGGAAAGAAAGCGGCGCGAAGGGGGTGAAAGTCGCGCGTGGTAGCGCGCGCGAACGGCGTTCGTTGAACCCTCTTACCTTAACATCCCCTCGCGCCGGGGCGACGGCAGCACGCAGCCAGCACGTACGTCCCCGCGCCGCGTTGCATCGCCGCCCTTCCTTCCTTCCGACCCCCGCAGACGCCGTAGCGATGCGATGAGATACCCTCCTCACCCGCAGTTAACCCGGTCCGGGGTATTCAAGGCGCACACGGGACGCGAGGCGAGTCGTCGCGCGATAACATAACTCCACGCGAGAGAGGGTTTACACTCCTCCGCGATCGCGGCGTCACACGGATGTCGCGCACGCGAACGTGATCGGCGGCGGCCACCCCCCGGCGTGTGGAATTGTGTGGATGCCGGCGTTTTGAAAAAACGTGGACGGAAGGGCGGGGGCGGGGAGGGGGAGAGGGAGTGCGCGG